AGGTGCTCAAGATATCTATATATCACAGGCCCTTCGTAAATGCTTCCTTCTCCTGCCATGGTCGAAATCGGAATACCTTCTGCGAGGATAATGCTAATGCTAAACCAACAAAAAATGCTAAACAAAGCAGAAAGGCTGAAAACTAGACGAAGCAAAACAATGCCACATATACTCGTGCGAGTATGTATCTGTAAGCGGGCCTGTATCTGTGTCTGTGTGTGTGTCTGTATCTTTTTGTCCCAAACTTCGATTGTTGTTCGAGCTATGCGCGTATTTGAATTTCCCCAACTTTTTTTTTTGTTTTCAGGTTTCTCTTTCACTTCCTCCTTTTTTCGCCAAAAACTATTCACTAAGCCAGAGACAGGGAGGACAGTGTAATGAAGACAAATAAAGGCAATTCCTGTAGCGCCATGACGCCGTGACTCCACCTCCACCTCCACCTCGACCTCCCCCTTTCCCCATCCCCCTGTCGCCCTCGCTGCATATTTGTTTAGGTCATCCCCATGTACATTCAGAATACCCTGAAAAGAGGCATATTGACTTACAAGTTTGGTCAGTGGATGGATGTACTGCCATTCGATGGTAGAATCAAGAATATAACCGCAAAAGGGCTAGGATTACGCCAAACAAAATTTGAATTATTCTCTATTTTCTATTTTCTATTCTAGAATATTAATTCTGCAATGAACAATCTAAATCGTTTCAAGTCCAAGAAGGTCATTTAGCATAACTGACTTTTTAGGGCATCCTTGGAGCCGTGTTTAGCAGTTTCCGTCAGATTTTTTAGTTGAAATTTTTTACTGGTCTCCTAGATGGGCGTATTTGCTTGACCTTTGCTTTGTTACGATTATGTTTGCCTTGGTCTAACCCGTGCAGTACTATATTTAGATACTCCTCTGTGGCACATATGCACATGTGGAAACGCTAGAGACTGCCAGCGCAATTCCCTTTTTTGTGTGGCAGTTATTGTATTAGAATTGACCAACTAAATTGAGTAAATAATATGTATATTACATTGCAGCACTGGACGTGAATTGCTGGATTGGTGGAAGGTTGTTACAATTTATCTTCGAGCCCGTCGAGAGTATTACAAAACATATCCATCTGAGGGAGATGAAAAATCAACATAAATCTAGATAAGTATATATACGATCCAGGTGGATGGGCTACGGATGGGAAAGCCAAGTGAAATGATGTCAAACGATTATCAGAATAGATACTGCAGAAAGTGAAGGTTTAGAAAAGCAGACTATCTCTTGCCTGGCATAGTGTTGCCGTTGTTTCTAGTCGAGTACTGCTTCCATTACTTCATTATAAAGGATTTGGCAACCACTCCCATTAAAGTTTTTTCCTGTGCTCTTCTATGTGCTACTCCGACTGCAGGAAAATGTATCAGCCCAATGAATGCCTCGCTGCTATTACCCGATTAACCTATCGTCAGCCGAATTACTTATCATATCATATAAAGAATCAGACAATGATAATTCCAAAAATTTCGATCAGATATGTATACTTATATGTATGTACCTAGATATATGTATTTTTTATCGCATATTACCTACCACAACAATAATTTAAATTAAATTTTAAATGTATAGAATATCAGGCGCAATATGATTTCAGCCATAATTCAGAATCACCTCTGAATCTCCCCGTCTCTCTGTTTAGTTTTCTTGGGGGAAAATTGACTAAATGTCACTTTTATTGGTTTTGTGCAATGTTATGAGAATTCCGACTCTGTCGAAACGGAGCTAGGCCCAGTAACTGCAGCATGACAGGACTGTTACCATTACCTAGCGGAGAGAGACCATTGTGTGGCACGATGTGTCCCTTCTGAAGGAGAGAGCAAATAGATTCCTCCCGCCCAATGTCAATTTAGACAAATTTCATGTTTATTTGGCCATTGATTAATGGCCCTGGGTCCGGACCCATAGCGAAGCTGCTAAGGGTCCCTGGCCGAAGGTCTTCAATCATAAGTAGTTTCCTGCTTCTCCTATTTTTTTTCGTATTTTTTGCCCTCAGCTTTTGGTTTATTTATGCATAAAATTTATAGGCAGAAACAAGCATATTTTGTGTCATTAGCCGCAAATTTTTGACCCATTTGTCATTAGAGCAGAATGCGGACAAGCAGGGCCAGGCAGCGGCAGAAGGACCCAAGGTTTTGCATAAAACAAACGGACACAGCCAGCCCTACACATGTGCATGGAAGTGTGTGCGTTTGTGTGTGTGTTGGCCATTGTGCCATGCCAAAATGTGTGACCGACAAGATTTATCAAGTAATAACAGACATTTCGGACAACCCATAGACCCATTAGTCACACGCTGTTTGACATTGTCTGAAAATATCATTTTAATCACAGACCACACACAAGGAGCACATGGAGCCCAGCAGGAGAAAACGATGCTGGGTGCTGGTGGGGAAGGTGAAGGTGGAGGTGGATACTCGGCTGCCTTCCGGTCCCGCCTTCATGGGAATTGAGAACATAGATCCCGTTTACAGTACGCTCGCAGGCCTAAGACAGTAAATGGAAATGCAAATGCATCTGCATCTCTATCGTAGATGGACTAAATCGTATTAATCTTAAAAATCATATTAAGCTACTCGCATTGGGTTACACTGCAAGCTTTGTTTGGAATTTGATATTAGGAGTGCCCTAGAGCTTTGAAACGCACTGTATGGACGTCTAAGGATATCTTCATCATCGCCAGGCATCAGTCAGCAGGCGCCTGCCGCCCCGTCAGCACTGCCTCTGTCTCCCTTCCTGTCATCGCATTAAATTTTAAACACATCCACTAGCCCAATAAGCTATTGTCGGTTCCTGTGTGTGGCTGTGCTCCAGTATTCACGGGCTTATTATGCTATCGATGCGAGCTATGATGCCCACAATGGATACGCCCCCAAATTACCCAGCAACACACACTTGCACAGAGGTTTGCAACTAAATTTCAGCTAAGTTTTAGTCAAATAGTGGCCCAGCTCTCGGAAATGGAAAGCAACGTGGTCACGACTATGTTGAGTCACATGCTCAACATCTCCGCACACAGATCGTTAACCTGCAATTTCCTAGGAATGCCCCATGGATCAAATATATTATTTTCATTGGTTCAAAACAGGAAACCGCACTGTAAAGAATAAATCGTTTATACTCGTTACTCATCTTACTATTATATTATTTTTGAAAACACGTATTAGTCCGAAATAAACCGGAAATGTGTAGGAAACTGGAAATGGAAGGAAACGTACCGAGGTTAACTTCTTTGAGAACCATACAACATTTGTCAATGGATTAAATTGATTAGTTTTATGATATTTTAATACTCGTACATTTCAATAGCCAAAACAAAAAAATACAGGGTTCATTCACATTTTAAATTTTTCAAAATTACAGCAACAAAAATGCACTCCAAGTGCTAAATTTGTTCAATAGCAAAAAGAGAAAATTAATTTATATAAATTTGTAATTTGTTATTCCATATCGTAATGGACAATCTACAAATGATTGATAAAATCGATGAATTGCTGGTCAAAATTCCCTGGAGGCTCAATCGACGTAAGGCGATTTTCAAATAAAATCGAGTCTTGCCGCATCTTGAATCTCAATTCCTGGTGAGGATTGTCCTTGTTGCTCATCTTAATGTTGATCTCCTCGAGAATCTTATGCAGTTTCTGGAGGCGATCGTGTATGTTGAATTGGCTCTCCTGCTAGGAAAGGGAAAGACCATCACGGGCATGAATCTTCAATCGGCAGGCTACTCACACTCATCACTTTGGCACAGGACACCACTTCTATTGGTCGACACACGAGGCCACGCTCATTGGTGTTGGCGATGGCCAGCTGATCGATGCCTCCCAAATAGCTCTGCATGAGCCATAAGGGCGCAGAATTATTCCGGCGGCCCTCTTTGTCAACCTTCAGCGAAGCCAGGTGGCATTTCTTTAGCACCTCCGGATCGTTTCTATGGAATACATACAAGCACGATATATGTAATTATGTATACACATACATATTTATGTATATGCAACAGAGGATGACGTACAGATCGCCAAGTGGTTCCTTGTTCGACACGCCACTAACTTCTGCCGAGTAGAGCAGGCGAAAGCTTCCCAATTTGGCCGAGAACATTCCATACACTTGCTTCCGCTCATCCACTGGGGCATCGGTGCGCGGCAGCGCGCCCGGATAACCTGGTCGGTCAATATTGTGACGGTTATTAGCGATTATCAACGATGATGCTGATGCTGAGTGCAGCTACTTACGGGTGAAAACGTACTGACGTGCCTTGAAGGGATAGGTTTTAGCCACGCATGGAACCGTGTACCGCTCATCGTGATCTTCCTGTAATGACCGCACATAGATGCAGCCCTTGAAGCGACAGGCTGCAAAGTTCGTTTCTTTACCGTAAGTCCGATCGCCCATAAATTTCAGCATTGTTCCGCGATTGAGAAAGAAGTCCATGTGTTCGAGCACCTGGCGCGGCTTCGGCAGATGCATCACATGGTGCTGGACCAGGCCGAAGGCGCGTAGAAAGTTTCCATTTCGAGGGATGTACCGTCTATAGCCCTTTTTCAGGTCCAGCGGATATTCAGTGGCCCTCGGCTGGCGATAGTACAGAATCTGGGGGTTTCCCTTCAAACTCTTCGTATCAGGGTCGTACTCCCACAAATTCTCCAGTTTTAGGTCCACCAGATCCATTTTGTCCGTTTGCGATTCCGTATTAAGGGTATAAGCTATATTTTCTCGATATCGAAAACAAGCCGCATCAAAAGTATACTGAAAATTAAGCGTATCTCTTGACTAGAAACAGCTGGCTGTGTGTGTTGGAAAACGTCAGTGCCCCATTTATTCGACTGATAGCCGGGACCGTGTTTAGAGACGGCTACGAACACTAATTTTCTCTGTATTGGCAGCAAATTTAGCGAAGCTTGAGCAAAGGTTGTACAACTAATAGAAAAATCATAAAACTAAGCAGCAAAAATTCCGTGCTTAGGCTTTCACATATTGCAGTAGGCTTACGGCAGGCACGTACCAATGGCTTGAGGCACCAGTAAGGGTGCGAGGGTATACATCATATACATACATATGTACATGTAATTTTAATATCACTAAGTTATCTTGACTTGTCCTTGAACAGCAATCAGGAGCTGAATCAGCTATTGAAGGGGTCGGATGGTGCACTGGTCTGGACACGGAAGGAACTCGCGAAGAGCAGGGAGCATGTAGTTCACCTGGACGCGGAGCTGCATAAGGGACGGGAGCTCATAAACCAGCAACAGAAGCGCCTAGATGTCTTGGACATCCAACACGCTGGTGTGGAGAAAGATCAGACCATAGGTGATTTGAGGCTTAAGGTACAGAATCTCCTGCAGCTTATTAACCTGCACCAAGAGCAAGAGCAAAATTCTCTGAGGCTGCGGAAGAGGAACAATGAGCTGGAAACGATGATCAGGTGAGGCCCCACCGAACTTTGAAAAGTTTGGTATTTTCATTGCAAAATTCCCAGTGAGCTGCAGGAGAAGTTGAAGCTCACAGAAATCCAGCTGGACGCCAATGACCAAAGGGAGGAGCAGTTGCACTCGGATCTGGAAATCGTGAAGATGGAGCTGTTCCGATCCGAGCAGCTAGTGGTCAAGTTGCGGGAGCACTCGAATCGCGACCGCAAGACGATATCCGCGCGCGCCGACGAAATCAACGAGCTGAATCAGACAATAAATCAACTGTACTTAGAAACTGGCGAGAAGGACACGCAGATAAATCAGGTCCGTTGTCGATACGTTGTGGACACGAAACGACACGATGTCCGATACGATAGGCCGCCTATGGCAATAATCTTACTCGTTGCAGGTGACGAACCAGCTCTGCTTGAAGGAGGAGCATCTAGGCCGCGTTTTTGAAAAACTAAATCGCCAGGAGAAGAAGCTCAGGCGCCTGGAGGAGCTTACAAACGTGAGCTCAAGTGACAATGCTCGCCTCTTGCAGTTGCGGGATAGGCAGCACGAGAAGAACATCCAAATGGACTGGGAGATTTCTCAACTAAGAGACACCATGTAGGTACCGGAGCAGTCAGCCAGCCCACTATAAGTGGCTTCCTAGAGTTGGTAGGATAGAAATTGTAATACTATTTCAAACGATTTCAGATTCCGATTTCAGTAAGGAACTGAGAGATTATATTTTCAACAATACACAGCCAGCGGCTGAAGTTCTTGGGTTCCAAGTTGGCGGCTACTCCATGCATCCAGAATATCTGAATTTACAGCCGCAGGCGGAGACGCAGGGAATTTTGGAATCCACTGTTACATACCTCGAGCCGCTGAACGGTCAGCGCCACCAGTAAGCAGACCACCGATAGCGATTCCTGTAAAAATCAGCGTCATATCAATCGCATCTCCTTATAGTTTTTCCACCATCGGCTACCAGGACCACTAAGCACTGAGATCACCATTAGCATCACCAGCGTTATCCGCCACCGGAAACAGACCAGACAATACGAAAAACGCTCTGAACACTCATCGGCAAAATTTATTGTGAATTTTTTAGTCAATACTGTAGAATAAATTCGCGTTGTACTTATACTTTTACATAATACTTATTGGCTGAGAATGTGGGCCTGGTAATTGAGATGATTGGCAGTTTGAGGGCCGGGTGGCAGTAATTACTGCTTGTTTTATGAATTAATGATACTCCCAAGAATGAATAGCTCTTCGAGAGCCTATATATACTAAGGTTTTTCTTGAGTTTACTTCTTTTTTTTATGGTATTTGAATTTTCATACATTTCAATAGCCAAAACAAAAAAATACATGGTTCATTCACATTTTAAATTTTTCAAAATTACAGAAACAAAAATGCACTCCAAGTGCTAAATTGGCTCAATAGCATTAAGAGAAATATAAATTTGTAATTTGTTATTCCATATCGTAATGGAGAATCTACAAATGATTGATAAAATCGATGAATTGCTGGTCAAAATTCCCTGGAGGCTCAATCGACGTAAGGCGATTTTCAAATAAAATCGAGTCTTGCCGCATCTTGAATCTCAATTCCTGGTGAGGATTGTCCTTGTTGCTCATCTTAATGTTGATCTCCTCGAGAATCTTATGCAGTTTCTGGAGGCGATCGTGTATGTTGAATTGGCTCTCCTGCTAGGAAAGGGAAAGACCATCACGGGCATGAATCTTCAATCGGCAGGCTACTCACACTCATCACTTTGGCACAGGACACCACTTCTATTGGTCGACACACGAGGCCACGCTCATTGGTGTTGGCGATGGCCAGCTGATCGATGCCTCCCAAATAGCTCTGCATGAGCCATAAGGGCGCAGAATTATTCCGGCGGCCCTCTTTGTCAACCTTCAGCGAAGCCAGGTGGCATTTCTTTAGCACCTCCGGATCGTTTCTATGGAATACATACAAGCACGATATATGTAATTATGTATACACATACATATTTATGTATATGCAACAGAGGATGACGTACAGATCGCCAAGTGGTTCCTTGTTCGACACGCCACTAACTTCTGCCGAGTAGAGCAGGCGAAAGCTTCCCAATTTGGCCGAGAACATTCCATACACTTGCTTCCGCTCATCCACTGGGGCATCGGTGCGCGGCAGCGCGCCCGGATAACCTGGTCGGTCAATATTGTGACGGTTATTAGCGATTATCAACGATGATGCTGATGCTGAGTGCAGCTACTTACGGGTGAAAACGTACTGACGTGCCTTGAAGGGATAGGTTTTAGCCACGCATGGAACCGTGTACCGCTCATCGTGATCTTCCTGTAATGACCGCACATAGATGCAGCCCTTGAAGCGACAGGCTGCAAAGTTCGTTTCTTTACCGTAAGTCCGATCGCCCATAAATTTCAGCATTGTTCCGCGATTGAGAAAGAAGTCCATGTGTTCGAGCACCTGGCGCGGCTTCGGCAGATGCATCACATGGTGCTGGACCAGGCCGAAGGCGCGTAGAAAGTTTCCATTTCGAGGGATGTACCGTCTATAGCCCTTTTTCAGGTCCAGCGGATATTCAGTGGCCCTCGGCTGGCGATAGTACAGAATCTGGGGGTTTCCCTTCAAACTCTTCGTATCAGGGTCGTACTCCCACAAATTCTCCAGTTTTAGGTCCACCAGATCCATTTTGTCCGTTTGCGATTCCGTATTAAGGGTATAAGCTATATTTTCTCGATATCGAAAACAAGCCGCATCAAAAGTATACTGAAAATTAAGCGTATCTCTTGACTAGAAACAGCTGGCTGTGTGTGTTGGAAAACGACAGTGCCCCATTTATTCGACTGATAGCCGGGAGACGCGTTTACGAACACTAATTTTCTCTCTCTTGGCAGCAAATGTTGCGAAGCTTGTACGGCTAATAGCAAAATCATAAAACAAAGCGGCAAAAAGTCCGAGTTTTGCCATTTACATATGCATATAAGTACGTTTCTATTTTCCACATTCAGGAGTAAAATGAATAAATGTCCATATAATCTACATATGTACATAAATACATATCTACTTTATCGACCGTTATTGCTCTTCATTGCGCCTCGGGACTCAGAAACCACGAATTGAACTAGTGCCGAAAATCACTCGTGGAACCATGAAAAGTGTCGTTGCCAGATCGCAATAGGGTGGCAATGACACTGGCACCGCCATAGGATCATTCATCAGACTAGCAGAGAAGTCTGATAGTGTATGTAAATATTGGGTCTGGAATAATTGAGGCTAATTCTAATTTAATAATCAAAACTCAACGCAGGGCAGAATTCGCTTAGGTACTATTCGGTTCGGATTCGATTCAGATATGTGATCCTTCACAGGACGCCCTTTTCCCCCAGTCTGATGTGACAAATTGAATTTGAGAACTATTCAAATTGATGTTACAACTTGGGATTCACTTAGGCAATTTTTCACACTCATTTGCATAGTTAGCCAAGTGACTTCTGCCGCAACCCATCTGTAGGATCTGTTCCCCGCAGGTCCGCTCCTTGCAGGTGGCCTGGCTGACTGATTTATGTACGGAGTGTCCTGGCTGGCTCTTGGCGGTTGGTTCGTGGAAACTTTCCGCTGGGGGTTGAGTAGCAGCAAAATGAAATTAAAAATTACAAGGAAAGGAAATCTTGAGTAACTTTTTTGATTTGTCCGCCTCACACCGAGCCCCGCCGCGACGGACTGCTGTAGTTGTGCTTGGCCCTGCTCTCGCTGCTCATCCAGGCCGGCCGGTCTGTCTTAAGTTTTAATTACACGAAACGTGAGTAAAATTACAAAATGCGAGAACTTCTGAACCCGTTCACAAATCAAATCGAAAGGATCCTCCAACCCACACAGCACTCGGCAGACAGCAGCACCGACCCAGACCTTCACTGGGAATGGTTTCACTCGTACCGATTGACAATCGCAAGGCCACCAATTGGTTATGTTCCACACGATTACATGCCCTATGTACTTAACCAAGCAGAGCGGATCCTTTTTTACGATATTGCCTTATATTGCCTTATCAATTCCAATACGGAGTCGGCAACGCCTAGGAATTAAAATGGAATTAAATACTTAGCCAGCCGTGCCATTACATTATAATGTTCTGGCTCAACGCTGAGTTTTTTAAATGATTACATATGAGTAAAGCATATTCCTGCTTGCGTTCCATTACTTGAACCAGAATATCGCAAATAAATCGCATTGGAATCCATTATCTAAATGGTGCTGGGGGAAAGATATGCAAGGATATTGCGCAGGAGGGTTGAGCAGGGGACAGTGTCAAAAGGCATAACAAGATACAAGCTCATGTCAAAATACACACACACACACACACATACAAACTTGATTGTCATTTGAATAGATTACAAGACTGCTGTGTGTCCATGTGCGTGCTGGGCATGTACGAGTATCTGTTCATATCGAAATGCCTATGGGCACACTTACCACTAACGTGTAGTTGTAGTGGCCAAGTCAAAAGGATGTCCAGCTGCACACAGCCCGACAACATTCGCATATCCACGTTCTCTAGGGGTATACTTCATTATCACATGGAACGGAATCAACAACCAGCAGCTTGCAGTCTTAACCCTTCTAACGACCCTGTCGGACAGAAGTCAGAATAGAAATCAAACAAAACCGATCAACACCAAGGGGCTTAACTGGTCGAAGATCACGGCCATTGCTGATTTCTGATTTCTTTTCCGTCGATTACAAATTAATTATTGGATCGACTTTTTGCTAATCAATTTTTGAGGTGAAGATATGCATACATACTCGACTAAAATACATATCTATGTGTACAAATAGCGGGTATGTTGGGGTCACATGGGAGCCCATGTAATGGTTAACACTTTGAGAGATTATGCTGGTAATAAAGGGGCGCTGCGGAGGTTTTGAGCTGTTCTCATATTGTGTAGACAAATTAATTGCGAACTCATGTAATTGTTTGACAATCTTGTCCAAATTCATGTGTGGTCCCACTATGCGTGTCTGTGGGAAGAGCAAAAGCTTGAGAACGCTGCTGAATGGGGAGCATTGGAGCACACCCTTAAGACGCCATAATCGCTGTGTTGACTCAAGTGTAACCCAATTAGTCGACAAGTGCTCGAATATGGCTGACAGCCCATCCCAAGACAGAGAACTAGAATATTTTTGAGCAGCTTGGTTGATATGTATGTCAGGATTACACATACAAATAAACATATGTAGGTACTATATATGGTTTGTGCGGTTATATGCAGCAGTACTTTTGTGCGGGCATACAATCAGAGGTCAAAACGATTAATTATCAAACCAACTATCGTCCTTCTATTCTGTATTTGTGTGTGTGTTGGCCGATAAGCTCTCAGGATAACGAAAATTATGCTGGCTGTAGCTACATAGCCATATTTACGCAGATAAACAGACGAATATACGAGTATGTACTCGTATATATGTATGTATATTCCATGTGCTTGCATGTGTGTTCTAGATTTTCTAGTTGTCAGTTCATTAAAAGATTGATTTCTCATTTAATGAGCAACTTTGAAACTGTATTTATTGCCCAGAAGTTCAAGTGAAACCTAATCAAATATCATTTACTAATGAACTGCACTGGCTTTTCGGGCCTCATGGGTGATGCTGATTCAAAAATGTTTCAAATGGTCTGCACTACAATTGTGAGGCATTATTGAGAATGTTTATGGGCAGAGGCGAAGATGGGCTTTAAGGTGCTTCACTACCCATCCCACCATCAAATAGATTTCCTGCACCACCGGTGCACAGGTTATTGCCATCCCAGGTATCAAGCATATGGTGCCAAAGCCTTTAGCCCCATTTTTTCCAATTTCTCATTATTTACACCGAAGAGCGAAGCTGCGATCTGAGTGGCACTAGAGGAACGTAAAGCAAATTTACACTTGCCTTTTGGATAGCCAATAATCTTGTTGTTCGAATTTGTTTACTCGCGAAGATTAAATATTTTTCACAGACTTGGCTGTTGATGACTCCAAAAATTCCAGATCCGTTGAGCTTTTAAAGGCAACTGATGCGGGCTCAGCTTCATAGCTTACAATTTTCTCGATATGAGGCAAAAACCCAGCTGTTTTTGTTTACATTATAGCCTTTTCCAGATGCCAGTCCCTGGCATATTGATAGAGCTTTGCTACACACTGTAATACTCGTAAATTGATTAATCTTAAATCTTAATCTTTTTTACAGATCGGAATAGCTGCTCTAGGATAGATAAACGATAAATATAGCCACCCGGGAGCACTCACATTTGTGCGTTTGCATATTCTTACTAATTAGGATTTCAAAATACCAAATACATATACATATATACATATTATAAATAAGAATAAGAATGAAACATACATATTATTTATTTAGATACTAAGTCTTAATCTCCGATTATAATTTTGTAGCATAATGTAAGCATCGTTCCCACTTGGACTCAACGAGAATTATCTGCAGATACATCACTTTCGGCCTGTGGATAATGAAATGCGCATTTTGGATCTGCAATTGATATTTGTATTTTTTAACATCGCATATCGCCCACCCATTCTGATGCTCCGAAGTGAGTTTTGTATCGTATGTTTTGAGTAGAGATGGAAGGTTGAAATTAGTCTTCATATAAAATGTAATTAAATCAAGAGGTCGAAACACATTCATCTCTTTTTCCCCCAGTTCGGCTTGCTCTCTGCCAGTGCCTTAATCAGCTTGTGATTAACATATCTTACTGGCCCGATCCTGAGGGTGGCGATAAAAGTTTTGACAATGTGTTCCTCATGAGTCGTGACGAATACAGGTGTAGGTGTTTAAGCTTAAGCTTTTTAATCAAAACGAAAAACCAAAAAAAGTTTCTGCTGTGCTTTAACAGAAATTGTATCTTTCTTTTCGTTTTTCCACCTGTTTTCTTGGAATGTCACTAGGGGCCCCTCACCACTAGGGGCCCTTTCCTTTTCCTGTTCTGTTAGCCTTTATTGGGGTTATTTTCGTAGAATCTACACCGTGTCGTAGATATACTCGTACAATTTATTCTGCTTAATTTTCTCCAAATAAAGCGTTTAAATGGTAAATACCCCAGCAGACAATCTTTTCAATTTTCGCGGAATTCTTTTTAACAGGTAAGAGACTCGCTAAAGTTTCTTTTGAAGTTTTGTAATTTCATATATGTACATATTACATATATGTAGATTTGGCTACGAGATCCGATATGTATCGAAGGGGGTATCCTTTAATTAACAACAGAATATGGCTGTTGCCGGTGTTCGGGTGTCTCCACCGCGCATTATTATTTGGTTTATTGTTGTGGATGTTTTTGTTCTCTCCGATTTGAATTTTATACAAAATATTATATAAAATTAGCATATAAAAGAGTTGATAACACTGACCAACCACACAGATACAGACACGGATACATATTCGAGGGCGAAACAAAGGCATTCTTAGCATATATATATTTATATTGAGTATATTGAGTACACATACAAACATACACATGTAAAGATATTATTTTATTTATTTTCCGAATGCAATGTTTTTAATCTATATTTTCTTTATTATTTTCAATTTAATGAAGTTCCTAATTACTTGAGAACGACTTGTTTCAAAAGTTTCGCCTTCCGGGAAAAAATTCACCTTGCTAGGAGATCCCCGTCAGCGGAGAACGCAGGTGTATTCAGTTCTTTGATAGCCATCGAGGTCCAATACTAATTAGAAATGATTAAGTGCAGTTGCTTCCTGGAGTTGAAAGTTGGCTAAACTTGATTAATTAGCAAAGCCAATCCGGAAATGAGGACGGAAACAAACTTTCAAGACAATTTCCAAATTTAATAGAAAGCAAAACGAAAGCCCAGATATATTTTATTCATATGTATATTAAACAAACATATTGACAGATCAATTTTACAGATACATCCACCGGTAGTCGTAAACTCGACAGGCTCCCATCTAAAGCTGTGTTGTATTTTCATAGATTTCATCTCCATCTAAGTAGTGGCACAACTATTGCATTTACAATTTCCATATGTATCCCCAGAGGCATCTGCGTTCGACAGTTACATACATATGTATGCATGTATATCCTATGATATGCAGTGACAGCTCTCCCTCCAGCACTGGCCTATCCAGTGCTCCTGCCGCTTGCAGTACTCGTGGCACTTGGGATAGTGCGGATGGTATCGAGAAAGCTGCTGGCAGAGGGCCCGATCCTTGGCTATGACGCGGGCCTTGATTGACACGATGCCCAGCGGAACGGTGACCGCTTCCACCGATTCCCCCGAGTCAATATTCAGATCGTTCTCGTTGGATCCGGCACCAGCCGCAACCTCAGCGGGAGGATCTGCGGCATCAGCGGCAGGCTCTGAGGCATCGCGGATCCCACGGAAAACGCTGGCCTGGCCAGGGGCGAGGAATAGGGCCAGCGACAGGAGGAGCAGGCAGATCACCAATAAACGCTTCATTGTGCACAACTAAAAGGCAACTGAGCAACTAAAATTGTTTTTCTTTTTCGAATTCTAATTCCGATTCCGATGCTCCCTCCCTTATCAGCCGTCTCAAGGTCACAGAACTCAGCATTCAGCACTCGGCGCTCTAATCGCTGAAACTTGAGCATTTATGCGGTTGCGTTCCGTTCCCGATTCGGTTTCAGTTTTGGTCTACACTCTTGTCGAGAGTATTATGATTCCTACCAGATGTTTGCAACGCAGAGAGTTTTCGTATTTCTTAAATCTGATCAGCAGTAACAGCGAAATCATAGCCGTATCCCACTTCCTTACTGGAAAGTAAAACATGCCTTTGTTTTACTTTTGGCAGCCAGTACATATGCCAAGATCACATATAGAGAAACTTGTTCTTTTACAAGTGTATTTATACCTTCGACCACTTCGCTTCTTGTTCAGCCAGGCCCAAGGCCCCCCCCCCCAGTCACTTTGCATACGGGGTGCCTGCTCCCAAATGGTATTGCTCTGAACTCACTCATGCATCAGCAGACCCCGGTCGTGCCACCCTGTTAGTTCACTTGGAAATTGGAATTCACAAAACATAAAGCACACATATGTATGTACATTTGAACATATCTTCGACTCCCACGTCGATATCAGAGCAGCATCATCGGAAACTCTCCTCCTCGAAGAGGCAAACTCGTACTTTGTGTTGCGTTGTGTGTTTAAGATTGGTACTGGGTGATTCTGGGGAATCGCCGCTAAATCGTCTCCCAGGCAATAATTACTCAATTTGCAACACATACAAATAAAGCATACGTCTAAAAAAACAGCGCACATGAGTCATCTGTCCCAACCACATCATACCCTCTGCTGCAGAATTGGAAAAAGGGTAAGGACGTGGAGCAGATTTAATGGACAGTTTTAAAGAATAGACTATCGAATCGAAGAATATGGAAAAGAGGTAAAAAGGAAATATGAAATAGTATATGAAATATAAGGAATCCCTTGTTATTGACCAGATTACGAATATTGAAAACAAATATTGCACGAATTATATGAGCTGTACTCTATACATACATATGTACGTATGTATGTATATCGGAGGTAGTCCGTCCGCCAGTGACATTCACATCCAAGAATATAATACACCCTGCTGCTCTTCGAGTAAGGTGCCCACAAAGAAGTATAAATGTTGAGCTAACAATTTATGCGGAAATTTGATTTTTATGTTCCTCGAGCTTGTCTTTCCCCCTCGCCCACTCGCGCTCTCCCCCATCTGTGCTACTTACTGTGTGTGTTGGCTGTCTGGAGAAGTTAGTCAAATTGATGGGCAACGGACAGACACGCGGACAGGCAGTTAAAGGAACATAAAATGTAACATTTCCGGGTAATTTTTGGCACACACACACACCACACAAACACATTTAAGTCTCATTTGTTTTAAAATGCAAAAACCATAACAATAATCATGAGAATATTACACAATAATAATAATCATAATAACAGCACTCGAATTTACGAATGTAAAAAAGGAAAACATCTGCCAGGAAGAACGATAGTCGTTCGCCAATAAAAAAAAAAACCATGAAAAGAAGGCTGCTCGGACTCTGAAGCCCTGAGCTTTTGATATCCTTATACATAGATCAACCAATCCTCTGAAATTAATACTCGTGAGAAAAATCACTTTACCTAAAGCTAGATCTTTACCTAATTTAATTTTTTGGGCGGCAAATTGGGATAAAATGTGTGGAGGCAACAACAGGAATATAATTTGAAAATTATTTCCTTTTGTGGTTCTGTTCGGATCGGTGGAAAATATACGTATATATGTAGTACATAGGTACGTGCATACGTATATGTATTACGATACGATCACGAAAAAGTGGATTTCAACAGCGAGCTGCAATGGGAAAGCGGAACGATATAGGAACAAATATACGTACATCCCCATCAGCATCAGTATGTACCAGGTATAGACAATTTTCCCAAAAAGTTTGGTCAACAATTTCAAATTAAATTCGAATTTGAGCTCGAAACAAACGGGAATGGATAATGGGTCCAATGGATGGGCCCCGAAGAACTATTCCAATGACTGTCAAACACTTTGGCTGGCATTTCCAAATGGTGCACGAGCCCCAAAAATTATTGACATTAGCTGACATTTGCACCGTAACGGGGCAAATACCCGTTGGATAGATGCCAGAGGTCGCGGGTATCTCGCATTATTAGCCAAGTTTGATTAATGCGATTGTGTTCGGAGAACGCGTACGAGTATGTGTGTTAACGGTGGATTTGGGGTTGATTCGAGTTTAATGAAAAACAGAAAACAATAGGCCCCCTCATCCAATCATCATCTGTGCCCCTTAGTCCCTCTTAGCCAGATGTGACAGGGAAAATGGGTCAATACGAAATAGATTTTTCGGCCATGTTTGTTCTGGCATTTGTTCTCGCTCTCTCAGGTTCCCCGCAGTCCGCAGTCCCCACAATCCTGTAAACTGATTTTAGCTCGATATAATGTGACGTATCTCGTTTTTGATAAGGGTTTACAAACGCCTGCCGAGGGCTGTCAGATGATAAGCACAAGACAAGCCGAGACCAAAAAGGATATGGGCAAAGATACAAAATTGTTATCATTGCAACACTTTTCCACGCCAGAGGCCTTCTTGAATGGAGGGGGCAGTGGCAGGGGCACGCACGAGTACATGTCCAATTAAAAATTCAAAAGCTCTTCTTCTGCCACTCACAAAGCGAATGAATTACGTGCCAAAGAACAAAAAAGCCTTTCAGATAAAACAAAATAAAACAAAACAAAAAAAAATGTTTTATTAATAGATTCACGAAATTCTATTTATAGATAGAAGAAGGGTGCAGATATTTTAATACATCCACGTAGGTAGAGATATGGAGATTGTGGCTATGAAGAAAGCAGTACGATGTCGAATGCTCCAGTATTTCATCAAAAGTAAAGAGACTTTTGGTATGTGATAAATTTTCTAACTTCTAAGCTAAATATATTCACTGGAACGGGATCTTGTGTTCATAACAGGTGCATAAAGCAATTAGATCGACTTTTTTATGATAGGTTTTGTCATCCTCCAAAAGTTCTCTATGATAAGGCGCCCAAATAATGACCAATCCATTTTATGGTAACAATTTTAACAATTAATTAAATACATATCTACAGATAGCATCATACTTAGTTATGGTTGTTTAATCTTCGTAACTCAAACTTAAGATACAGTCAAAATATAATTTACCATTTACTACATAATTATCTATAAATTGTTGTACAAATATTTGGACTTTATTCAACAAATTCGCACTCGAAATTATCTCAAGTCGATGTCGGAGCCCCCTTGTTGTTTTTGTTTTTATTTGCAAAGATGTAATCGCATATTACTCAGATGGGCTGAAGGGGCATCGTGCTAGACGGTAGAGGAAGGAAGGCAACGACAGAGGCGATGGCGATGGAGGCTTAACAAGCGCCATGGGACTAGGCTTCTGAATAAAGGTAAGGATATCGCATCTACATATCCTGTTCTCCATATATATACATTCTCCATATATATGTATATGTATATCGTAATAATAATTTGTTTGGTAACAAAATTCTCCCTGGGGCGCATTCAACTAAACGCAGACAAGGACGGCAGTCAGGACTTTGGGGTGTACTACTGGCCAGGTCGACTGCTCGTGGCAATTATAAATTGTTGAAAATAATTTCATTAAATATGTAAAAAGGCGACGCCAAACAGAAAAGTGTATAGCGAGCGGGACAGGAGCAGGACAGAAGGAGCCGAAACAGAAGCAGCCCCAGGAACAACAGGAGGATCCCTTTCAACCGAGTGTCCTGGACTACGTGCCTGCCATTAAACTTTCACTCCGCTCACCACTCGCTCTCTATCTATCTATCGTTCTGACCTTCTGCCTTGCTCCGTTCAAACTTTGACTTCCGGTGTGTCCTCGAAAAAGTTCCCCTCTTTCAGTCCATATTGGGAGTACTTTAGAGGGGTGTGGACATGGGAATGGGAATGGGTAGAGCCCAGGACCAGAACTAGGTAACTTAGGGGAACCTTCTCTTAGCCAAAAGGGAAGTCGGCTTTTTCGCACTTTCCATTTGCTTTGCAAATTTGATGATTTCCCAAACTGAATTTTCATTTTCGCTTTGCAATTGTTCATTTTATCTGACACACAGAGGGATTCGCATGAGAGGGGCAACAAGAGAGGGGGGAAAGAAAGAGAGTGGTGGTGGTGGTGGTGCACTCTCCTGCTGTGGCTCTTCTTTCTGTGGAAGATGTACAGGAAATTAAGTTTGCAGTTCTGCATAACTCGTGGTGACATCCCTCCGGACATTAACTAGAACCATGGAACAGTAAAGTAACGATGGGCTAGGATACAGTACAGTGAAAGCTGGCTGGAATGTACTCACTTACATATGTACATATGTACGATTCAGTCAAGATTTAACATGTTCATTTTATCTTAATCTATTTCCCAAAACATACCCATATCTGTGTACTTCCTAGATCAATTGTCAATCCTTGATTCACATAGATGGACAAATAGGCTTATCCATTTCGATTCATTTCCTTCATCTTCCTGCGGAACTTCTTCACACAATCTTAATGCTTCAAAAAGATGAGGGGACGACGGATTTCCTTCCACCCAACGCAGCCCAACTACACTGCTGATTGATTGGAAATGGCTCCTAGAAGAAATTCGCCAAAAAATATGCCAAAGAAAAATCAAAATCTCAAAAATGTATACACAAGAAATTTCAACAATACAAATTTGATGTAAAATTTGAGTAGGCATCAACACCAGCACGCTGCTCCCTCCAGCCGAATGGAAATCAAATTAGAGTAGGATGTAGGGTCAGGTGCGGGGGCTCCACCGGGAGAGATTTCCCTTTCATTTCTGGCATACGTATCTGGCTTTGAAATTGTAAAATATCCCAAAAATATCTCATATTTCTTGAACAATTGTTAGCAACTAATCTTTTGAGTATGCATTTCAATCGAAATTTTTGGGCA